GCGATGCCGTAGCGGGCGAGCGTCGCGATCACCGCGCTTTCGATGCGCTCGACCAGCGAACGCACGCCGTAACCGAGGCGATGCAGGTCGACCAGCACGTAGACCACGATCTGTCCGGGCCCATGGTACGTCGCCTGGCCGCCGCGATTGCTGCGGACCACCGGGATCTCGCCCGGAGCGAGCAGGTGTTCATCGCGGCCGGACTGGCCCTGCGTGAACACCGGCGGATGTTCGAGCACCCAGAGTTCGTCCTGTGTGTCGGATGTGCGCGATTCGGTGAAATCGCGCATCGCCTGCACCGTGGGCTCGTACTCCGAGAGCCCGTCCAGGCGCCGGATCAGCGGCGCCTGGATTTCGTCACCATTGCCGGCGATCTCAGCCACCACCCGCCCACCACAGACGGATCGAATCGATCAGGCGCGTGAACAGCCCGCCTTCCGGCACCGCCTTGAGCGCGACCAGCGGCTCGCTGCGGATCAGCTTGCCGTCGAGGCTGATGGCGATGCTGCCGACGACCGCGCCCGGCGCGATCGGGGCGATGGCCTGGGCGGTGATCTGCGGCTGCATCTGGATGCGCTCCTTGGCCCCGCGCGGCAGGCTCAGCGAGATCGGCTGCAGGGTTCCCACCGGCACGCTGTCCTCCGTGCCCTTGTAGGCCGTCACCGTGCTGACCGGATTGTTCGGGCCGAGCAGGGTGGCGGTTTCGAAGAAGCGGAAGCCGTAGTTGAGCAGTTCGAGGCTGGCCTGTTCGCGGTACGCCCAGGTCTTGGCGCCCATCACCGCGACGATCAGGCGGCGGCCGTTGCGGTTGGCCGAGGACAGCAGGCAGTAACCGGCAGCGTTGGTGTGGCCGGTCTTGATGCCGTCGACGCTCGGATCCTTGGTCAGCAGGCCGTTGCGGTTCGGCTGCGGCTTGGCGATCTTGTACTTGAACTCCTTCTCCGCGTAGATCTTGTAGTCCTCGGGGAAGTCGCGGATCAGCGCACGGCCCAGCAGCGCGAGGTCGCGCGCGGTGGTGTAGTGATCCGGGTCGGGCAGGCCGCTGGCGTCGACGAAGTGGCTGTTCTTGAGGCCGAGCTTGGCGGCGTACTGGTTCATCAGTTCGGCGAAGGCCGACTCGCTGCCGGCGATGTGCTCGGACAGCGCGATGCTCGCGTCGTTGCCGCTCGCGATGATGATGCCGCGCAGCAGGTCGATGATCTTCACGCGGCTGCCGACGTCGAGGAACATGCGCGATTCGGACGAATCCTTGCCCTGTCTCCAGGCCTTCTCGCTGATCAGCGCCTCGTCGTCATAATGCAGCCGGCCCTTCTTGATCTCGTCGAAGGCGACGTAGGTCGTCATGACCTTGGTGATGCTTGCCGGCTCGACGCGCGCGTCGGGCTCGCTGGCCGCTAGCAGGTCGCCACTCGCGTAGTCGATGACCGCGTAGGACTTGGCGTCGATGGTCGGCGGTTCGGGAATCTTGTCGAGCTGCGCGTGGGCGCAGAGCGGAGCGGTCAGCAGGGCGGCGAGGAGAAATTTCTTCATTGATCCGGGCGTGTGGCGGGAGAAAGGCGCTTGGACGCAGGCCGCTTCAACGGACCCTGCAAGCGCTCGGATGTGCGGCGACGGCGCGTCGCCGGCGTTTCGAAATTTTAACGC